AGGCACAAATTCATGACCATGTAGGTTGCTTCTTCTTTCCTCTGAAAATTCGCTTCCAACCTTAGTGCCACTACTATCCGTCCATCTTCCTTCCCGCAATAATGGATAAGCCATGACCCCTACCAACTTCCAACTATGCCAACTGGAACGTGTGGGTCCACAAGGGACAAAATTGCAAGACTCCCTTAAAGTCGCAGCGAAGAACCACTAAGATCTTGCTTAGTAGTCTTGCTGAAAAAAGTCCAGCAACTTGCAGAAATGAACCCCACCCGTAGCTTTCCTTTGATTTACAGACAAAAAGAAGACCCACCCAAGAGGTCAGACAACCAACTAGTATATTACCTAGGGATGGCAATTTGAAACCAGCCCGATGGGGATCCGATCCTCCAACCCCGAATTGAGCGGGTTTTTTTTCGAAAAATACCCCTACGGGGACGGGGATGGTATTTAAAAATTAATCCCCGAACAGATTCGGGCCGGGGACGGGGATAAGTGTTCCAACCCCGTACCCGGCCTGGTTTATCCCCGAACTTATCCCCGTATATATATACTTTCCTATTCACTCATCTACACTCATTTCTCTATTCACTGATTTCACAAAATCCATTCTCCTCCACACTTCTCTCTCTCTCTCTCTCACACACCCTAATCTAGTTTTCATCTTGGTCTTCATCTCACACCCTAAGCCCCCTCTCTCTCTCTTCTCATCACCTCTGTTGCTGCCTTGTCACCGACCACCACCAATCGTCAATGGAAGAACCACTCTCTTCTCTCTTCTCTTCTGTCCCTCTCGGTCTCACGCTCGAAATCACTCTCGGAATCAGCCAACAGATCGTGAATCAGAGAATGGTTCTTTTTTCTATCTCGGTCTCACACTCGGAATCAGCCACAGATCGTGAATCACTCTCGGAATCAGATCGTGAATCAGCCAACAGATCTCAGATTGTGAATCACTCTCGGAAACAGATCGTGAATCAGTCCTTAGATCGTGATCGCCAACAGATCGTGAATCAGCGCTTAGATCTCAGATATATATATATATATATATATATATTTGAAAAAGTGTAAACTTAAATTATTTGTTCTAGCCTCTCTCTATATATATATATGTATGTATCATCTCATTGATTTTTCAATATATATAAATATAGATTAACTTGTATGTATATATGTATGTATCATCTCATTATTGTTGTTGATTGTTGATGTTGTTGTTATTGACGAAGAAGAAACAGAGGATCATTGTTGTTAGATTATTATTGTTGTTCATCTTAGATCTAAAACAAATTATTATTGTTGCTGCTATTTTTTTTTTTTTTTTGCCGGGGAATGTTCGGGGTCGGGAAAAACCGATCCCCGTTGGGGGACGGGGGCGGGGACGATGATGGGTCCCCCGTCGGGGATCGGGGCCGGGGACTTGGCAATTTTCATCATCGAGGATCGGGGACGGGGAGGGTGATCCCCGACCCCGTTGCCATTCATAATATTACCCAAAGAAAGACCGACAACTTTTTACAAAACAACTATTACAAAACTCAACTTTTAAGGTGTGGTTGCAAATATGAAAACTTACCAACCTCACCTTGAAGGACCACTGGCTCTCCAAGAGAGAGAACTTTTTGTACACAAAGGCCTCCTTTGGCAACCTTTCATTTTAGTTAAAAAGTCAAAAAATTATTAAATTAGCCAAAAAGTCAACAATCCATACCAAAAAGTCAAATTCTCTTTTCTCTCTACTTTTTGCACATCTTTTCCTAAAAAACTAAAAAGTCATCTCAAACATACTAATGTTTTTTAGCTCATATTTTAACCAAATAGCCAAAAAGTTACTAAATTAGACTGTTCGCAAACGAGGCCAAAATCACTCTTAGGCTTTGTTTGGGAAGCGGGTTGGCTTTTTGATTTTTTGATTTTTTTGGCTATTTTAGCCTGAGCTAAAAAGCTTGGTTTGGGAAGAACTTTTTAGCTCTGACTTTTTTAGCTTTTTTTGTGAGAGAAGAGTGTAATGATTATGGGTTGGATGTGATATTTTGTTTGTTGTGGCTAAAATAACATATTTTGTCTTTTGTGGCTAAAATATTTTTAAAAACCCATAAACCATCTTCCCAAACGGAGCTTTAATAATTTGATAATTTTTTAAACTTTCCACCAACTTGCTCAACCTCAAAATCAACAATTTGGTTGAGTATTTTGATGGTTTTAAACCGAGAGATACTTACGTGTAGGTCCTAATAAAGGACTTATTATCTAATAGGTCCTATAAGACAAATTTGTAATAAAAAAAAAAATCACTAATTGTAAGTTTTAGCGATAATTTATAAAAAATCATGACACAAAAAAATCACTAATTGTCAATTTTTAGCAACATGTATAAAAAATTGTCACAAAAAAATTATTTTTAGCGACTATTTTATCAAAATTTATTTTCAATAAGACTATAAAAATTAAGTCTAATTATTAAGATCTATTAATAATTTACCTTTAAACCAATGGGTTTGACAGGTTGACAAGTTGCAAATTGTTAATGTAATTGTGGAGCTATAAGATAAAAATAAAAGAATGTTTGATGACACACATCTATTTAGAAAATTTTGATAATAGTCTAAGCATTTACACGTGATGAAAGTTTTTTTTAAGAAGTAACAATAAGATTTGTTCATGGTTTGAGGTGTTTGATTTATAAATTACCTGACTTTGGGCGAGTTGATTCAAACTGCACACAATCTAACCTGCACAAATTTAGGCTTGTTTTGTGAAGGGAAATTATTCAATATTTTCAGAATATCACATGTCTGTAATCTCTAATCAATTATCATTCAATATGTTTTCTCATGTTTCCTAATCGCCCATCGCGATACCCCACCTATCCACTTTTCCCACCAATCATAATACTATGAAATATCACGTATCAATATTCTGAAATTACTGAATAAATGCCCGTTTTGTGAATATGATTAAAAGCAGTTTTTTGCCTTTTTTGACTTTTTTTAATCATATCTCCTCTCTACTTTTTTACACGTTTTAAAAAAAAATCAAAAAAATCAATTTTTAACCTATCCCCTAAAACAAGGTTTAGTGTCTAATCTTGCCCAACTTGCCAAGACTCTCAAACCACAAGTGGCAGCTCAGGTCTGACAGATTGGCCATGTTTTTTGTGTACATTCATATTCATAAAAAAAAAAAAAAAAATTAAATTGATACAATAATTATAATTATATGATTTTACCAAAGTTGTATTCAAAAAATTGGATGTTTATTTTCAAAAATTACATTTTACATTTTTTTTTTGATCGGTGAAAGTTAATTATTAATTGTTAATTACCACTTATGAAAGTTAACATCCCTATCTTATACAGAGCACCAAGTGCTTGCCGCCTAAATTGAACTCCTCTAAAGAAAATTAAACCTATGATATACATAAAAAGCTACAATACAAACATGAATCTCAAAGGCCTAGATGGCTCCTCTCCGATCCACCCTAAACCAGAGAGAAGCCAACTCATTTTCAAAAAATATTGACAATGTTGTAAATGTATCTAACATCTTCCATTTATATAAATTTACACAAATAGATGATATCACATGTATTTATGACATTCCTAACTGCAGATAAATGTATTGTACTCCAGTGGTTCAGGAAGACTTTTTGCCATTGGTTTGATGTTTTTGGTTTGGACTTCAGTCCTCTATCAAAAAAACAAAAAATTAAATACACAATTTTATTCAAATAGGACCAAATACCCTTTTTGTATTTCCTTATATTTTACATTATTCTTGACCATTTCAGTTTCCACCCGTGTATATCTGCAGGAAATAACGAATTAGAAAAGTATGCAGTAGCAGCTACAGCTAATGGTCACCAAAACCTTCTTTTTAATGGTATTTTCCATTTGACATAGGCAAAACTTTGCCCATGACAAAGTGGAAAGGAATGAAGCACATAAAAATCCCATAAAAATTTTACACAAAACGTTTATACAAACTGTGTATCCAGAAGTGGCCAAACCCTTTTTAGGGCCCAAGACAATTCCAAAGGGAGCCCTTTTTAATATTTAGATGTGAGTAATGATATATAACAATATATTTGAAATTTTAAAATTTATCAAGATGTATTTTATTTATAGAAGTGTCACCGTTGTACAAAGATTCTGAAATAATAGCAGTAAGATTATTCATCAGCAGTAGGATTAATTGAGACAACAAATGTAAACATTTTAGGGCAAATTACATATACACCCCTCGAGATTTGGCTAAATTACAGATACCCCCTGAGGTTTCGGAAATTACATCCCGCCCCCTGAGGTTTGTATTTTTATAACAATTTGCCCCCTGAGGTTTATATTTCATAACAAATTACCCCCTAATTTCTTATGCAAATATAACATTCAGGGGGGAATTCGTAATTTCTCAAACCTCAGGGGGGCATCTGTAATTTAGCCAAACCTCGAGGGGTGTATATGTAATTTGCCCAAATTTTTAAAACAAAAGTCGCAAAGATAATGCCCACAACGAAGTCAGTCAGGCTGCAAATGAACCGAGTTGTCCACGAACAAACTTGGCTCCGCTCGTTAATGGCTTCACGCGGCTCAGTTCATTTAGTAAACGAGTCGAGTTCTAGCTCGAATATTAAGCTCGTTTAGTAAATAAGCCGAGCTTGAACTCACATAAGCTCGGCTCGTCAAGCTCAGCTTGTTTATTTTTATCTAAATTATATAATAAATATATTATTTAATATATAAATATATATAAATAATAGTATAAATACATTATTTATAAATTATATAATATAAACAATATTTTTTGTTTAAACATTTTTATTTAAATAATATTAAAAAAAATTATCGAGTAGAGCCAAGCTCGAGCCCAGTTTCTTATCGAGCCAAACTCGATCTCAATAAACGAGCTCGATAAATAAACGAATTGAGCTCGAGCTCAGCAAAGCAAAGCTCGGCTCGGCTTGATTTCATCCGTTTGCAGCCCTAAAAGTGAGACAACAAATGTAAAACAAATGACCCATGAACACTTCATAATATTGTTCATCAGCAGTAAGATTAATTGAACCTATGGTAAAGATATTCCAAAACTCCCCAGTAAACAGAGGGCAAATAATGATAACAACACGGTAGCCAAAAAATAAAAATGGCCCACGGCAGACAATATAAGCAGAGACACTCACCTGCTCATTCTTACCCAACTGACGAAAGAGAAGTGAACACAATTCATATGGTAATACTTTTAAAAAACACTACCATCAGGAGCTACCTCCGTCAGCATCACCCAGTTTCCTTCTCTGTTGATGCTCTGCAACTTTATAATCTACTACTTCACGGAACAAGTTTGGATCAAGCACACAGTTCTCGCTCCCATAAACAGCAGCTTGAACACTTGCCATCAGCTTTGCTATCTCTCTTCCTGAGAATCCTTCAGTCCTAACTGCAGCTTCCCTCAGAATATCATCGGTCAAACCCTTTATCTCTATCTGCTGCTGCTGTTTCCGGAACAGATTGGAAAACAGACCCGGTTTTCTTGCCCCAGCCTGAGCTATGTACTTGTCCAAATAGAGTTTTAGCAGCTTGAAGCGTTCGTCCTCACCAGGCAAAGGAAACTCCAGGACTTCATCAATACGATCTGCCACAGCTGAATCAAGATCACCAGGGCGGTTTGTAGCAAGAGCAAGGACTATGTCCTTGGACTGGTCACCTGTGCGGAAAAGAAGGGCATTGAGTGCACTCCGTTGAGCTTCACTCATATAGGTTTTGTTTCGCCTGAAAATTTTGGTTAAAAAACCAAATTCTCATAGTTAGGTTTCATCATAAATAAGTCAACTGAAATTGTTGATGTCTAGCATATGGCATTAAAATAAAATCAAGGTCAAACCAAATTATGCAACAATTTATGTAGTCTTAACATATTCCGTTACCATCCCTTTCACCTAATAATTTTAAGGTGGAAAAATGGTTCTCCTTATAAAAGCCACAGAAGGGACAAAAAATATTCATCATAATCGATGCACAAATTTCCCCATTAGCAAATAGAAAACATATTCAAGTATTTTGGTTCTTCAATATATTCACGGGAATTGTATAGTCACCATAACCCACATTACTCATCAGAATCATAAACAAAGACACTATTGAAGTAATAAAAAGGGACAGCAGAGTAAAGTAATTGTTTTTTGTCCACATTATGCAAGGATAACTATATTTCCATATGAAAAAAATGGAAATCAAAATAAAGCAAATATCACTTACTCGCACAAGAATGCATCTGCTTCATCAATGAAGAGCAATAAACCCTTCTTTGACTTCTTGGCCCAATCAAACAACTGGTGTATCTTGGTTACAGCCTGTGGACCCAGTGGCGCAACATCTCCACCAGTCATTAACGCATAATCTAACCCCTGAAAGAATATCAAACCATTAATAGGGAATCACTAATAAAACCAAATAGAACCCATGATCCACAAGCATGAGATGAGGCATCCACAACTTCTGGCCTATACCCATGCTTGATGTAGTTATCGAACTCTTAAAATGACCAAAAAGTAGCATGTTGCTCAGGCCCACAGATGTCCAACATTCAAATTTCAAATTTTGCCTAATTAATGACCAAGATGATAAAGAGTCACCAAATTTTGTAAAGTTCACCAGAACACTTAATCAGTGAAGATGAATCACAGAATTTTTTTCCCCAACAATTAAAGTCCATACCCCATGCGAGAGAGAGAGAGAGATTGCATACAGATTTGCGTGCCAGCTCTCTTGCAGCCATTGTTTTCCCAGTTCCAGGAGGACCATAGAAGAGCATGTTCCTAAATGGTGCCTGATGGGATTTTGTATTGGCAGTTGCACTAGCGAGTTGCTGAATTCGCTTTTGAAGAGAAGAGTTTAAGATAACGTCACCAAATCCATTCCCATTATTTGAAGCAGACGCTGTACCATTGTTAAGTGATAGAGTGCTAATACCACGAGAAAACAATCCTGACCACGGATATCTCCCTCTGGAGGACTCTCTGATCAATGATGGTTGTCCTAATATTCTGTCCACGTAGCCCCAAAGCACTCTTGCACCTTCTCTGCATTGCAAATGAAACTTGAATTAAATAACATCATCATAATCATCAATATTATTTTAATAGTAACAAAACAGTTATTATGTGTACTGCAGACAAAATTGTACTTGTGAGTTCAACAAAATATTACAGCTGAATAATATAATTGTAAGTAATACCAAATGTACCAAAATATCGTCCACTTGTATGTATTCAATTCAATTTGCTTATAGGAGTCCAATACCTTGTTGTGTAGATCCCTGCTGCAAGAGCTGTCACTCCTCCAACAGCTACAACCAGTTTATTTTGATCAGTTAATATGGCCCGCAGACCACCTGCAAAACATAGATGGATCCCCATCAAACAAGCGTTTTCTAACACAAAGTTTTACATCCATAGCAGAACCAAAATGTCAACAACAACAGAGAGTGGAATATTTAGGCACTTATTTAATACAGAATTTTTTTTCTTTTGGTCAAATTATGAACGACAAGAATCTCTACTTGGCTGCTTCGTCTCTAAAAAAAAATCATGGGTGGAGGTGTTCATGTACCTCAATCAAGGGATGTCCACTATTTCCAACCCTAAATTTACTTGGATCTGAACCTCATGATCTTTACTTAGAATAGCAACTCTTAGGCATGAAAACGACATAGTAAAGACTTAAAAGAAGATCTGAGCACAAAATCCAAATGACTCACACTATTTGAGAAATTGAAGTCTTTATTATAATTTATATCCCATTCACAATTAAAATGAAAATGGATTTAAATAAAGGCTTTACTAATTCCCAATCTGTATGTAGAAAGTTATAGTTTCAATCAAGAAAGAATAGCAAGAGTAATATTTTAATAATTGCATGACATCAATTTCCTTGCCATCAGTTTATATCACTATTTATGTAAGTAATCAATTCTAAAACATAACAGTGTCCACTAATATCTATGAAATGATCTATACAAAAATGTATATTGGGCAGTCACCAAAATTAGATATGCTTGCTAATATATAACAAGAAAAATATGAAGGCAAAAAAGAAGATGAAGACCACCAAAATGAATCTGTGTCATATAATTTACATTTAACCAAAAACGAAACTGTTCTCATACCAAAATGTATGCATCAACCTTGCAAGCAATGCTGCACAAAAACATAATGAACACCGTTGTCAGCCAAATCTTATGCCCAACACAACCTCCAACTTATGCATGTCGCATGTCCTAAATCATGGTTTCAGGACTAGTGGTGGCATCAGTTTGGGTATATTGGTATCGAGAGAGTATCGAATGACACATATTAGGAATTGAGTGTTGTCGTCCAGAATTTTTAAAATCATTTCCAATCCCATCTAAAACTCAATTATATGAATTATGTTAACTCTCTATAAGTTCAGTTTGTCACATTTTTTACTCAATTTGAAGCATTAGTCAGTTCGATGGTTGATCTTGATCATATGGTTGTCCCAATAATTCCACTCCATACCGTCATCAATTCTTTTTCTTAGTTTTAAATAAATTACTTGCACAAAAACTGTGAATGGAGATGGAGGCAATAGGTACCTCACCAAAGGGATTTGGAGATACCAAGTGATTGATAATGTTCATATAGCAATAATTTTCAATATGTAAAATGGGACTAATAGAGCCTCCAGTAATATTAGTATTATTCACAAAATAGTAATAGATATGGTTTATGCATTTTCCATTAAATTGACATTCAACAAAATCACATTAGCAAGCATAAATTTGAAGAACGATGTTTTCATTTGAATCTTCAAGTGGTATCCCATATCGGTTATTGAACTTTTATTGTTTTTTTTTTCCCCTTTCTAAACAAAGAGACAAGCTGCTTTATTTTTCTTCCATGCACTAGTTGTCTAACATCGCTGGGATAACAAAATCACACTAGCAAGCATAAATTTGAAGAACGATGTTTTCATTTGAATCTTCAAGTGGTATCCCATATCAGTTATTGAACTTTTATTGTTTTTTTTTCCCCTTTCTAAACAAAGAGACAAGCTGCTTTATTTTTCTTCCATGCACTAGTTGTCTAACATCACTGGGATAGCATATCAGTTGCTTTATAAATTCTATCCATGGGCAATGGAGCAACATGCATGGGCTGCGCTTAATCTATGAATGGCCAGCCCCTAGAGTCAAAGGGTCTAAAGCCCAAAAAGTATAAAAGAAGAGCAGTGTCTATATTTTTCTGAACCAGATCAGTTAGCCTTATGAATCAGTAATTTATCTGGTTCAAGCTTACACGTGTCGCAAACCAAGGAGCTTGCACATAGTGCTAACATGATAACATCCAAAATGGGCATTAGAATTTTGTTTATGTTGATGAATGCATATTTGGTGGGTCCTAGGCAAGCATGTTAAATTGAAATACCTCCAATATGATCAAAAGTTGTGTTTATGGTAGCAACCCATTTCTCTCTCTCGGCATTTGCACGCTCTACTAGCATTCGTCTGTTAACCTCTTCGGCAAGCTTTGCTTCATGGGCCCTCCCTTCTGCTTCTGCCATAGCCTTCACCCTTATTGTTTCACGTTCAATCTCAGCTTTCTCCCTTTCTGTTTGCCGACGCTGAGCTTGAATCTGTTCTTCAGTCGCTCGTCTGGCTTGCTCTTGCCTAATAGCTGATTCTTCTTGCATTTTGACAAGCTCTTGATTTCTTGCTCTTTGATGCTCATTTTCTGCCTGGAAAAGTTACAAGGAACAGTTATATCTTTCCAACAAATATCGTCTAAACAAAAAATTAAAATATACTGTATACATACCTGCATCCTCTTCCTTGCCAATTCATCCTCATAGCGAGCCATCTGGGATTTTATTTGTGCCTGTTGCTGAGCCAGCTTTTTCTGTTCTTCATAAATTACCTTTTGTCTTTCCTGCCAAAAACAGACAGCATACAATGAAACTATACCAGTGTGAGTGATAGAAACCATCTAGTGCAACAATATCTGGCTGTTCCTGGAAGACACAAATAAAGATACACAAAAGAACCAACAAACTCTAAATAATTTAGCTCTTCCGCTTAGGAATATGCCAGCTGATCTATCAAATAGACATCTGACAAAGAAGAGGTAGAATTTGAAACTCATCCGATGAGCTGAATTTGCTCTAAGATCATCTATGTGACAATGTCACTAATGAGCTAAAGTGGAAAATCTGAACCCTCTCCATGATATTAATCACATTTAGTGGATATGCGGAGAAAATATTTAGACAAAACTGAGAGAAACAAATTGTCTGTTTGAAAGAAGGGGCCATGTATCACCAAGATTTGTTAAAGCAATTGAGATTTAACACTAGATAATATTGTTGAACCCACATTTGTATACGTCCTATTTAACAGGGCAAGGCCATGTGCATCCTAGAGGTAAATCGCAAAGATGCCACTGAGTCAGAAGGTTTAATTCACTCAAGTTGTGACTATCATTAAAGTATCCAACAAGAGAAAGGAATCTCACGACGGAAGGATTCAATAAAAATTTCCCAAATTGATCATGTGATGATAAATACAACCACTTGCCAAGTCATCGTGAGTGTGCCTGGGGTAGCAAATAACCACAACTTAATTCAATTTTTTAGTTAAACAATGGCACTAAACAGATGATCATCTATCAAACTCCACGAAACACTTCTTCCTCCTGAATAAAAGATAAAGTATTCCTCGTTCTTATTACTCAACAGATATGAATTAAAGTGGGAGACTCCAGTTTTCTTTATTCTTAGTAATGGACTATCCAAGCACTGCGCAAATTAACCTAGAATTTCATAACATAGCCCCCATGTAACACTAATCAAATCCATAAAATTAATGTCCTTTTGGTGTTTTTTTTTTTTATTTATTTATAATTTCTTTTGTTTGTTCCCTCCCTGATATCACAAAACAATAAATTATCAAAATAAAAAGGAATTCGTAAGAAATTGAAGTAGAAATGTGAATCATACAGTTTCAGCTTGAGCTTGCATGGCTTTAAACTCAGTGGCTTTCGCAGTCAATTCTGTCTGCCTCGTCTCTTCTTGTTTTTTCATAACATCGAACACCTAATTCAGCATTAAGCCGTCATTAATTACACTTAATTGAAAAACTATATACATCAAATCAAACAAAAAAACAAAACACAACAAACAACCCAATAGCAAGACAAGTGAAGTGACCATACATTTTCTCCACTAAACACCAAAAACACAGTGAACTAATCAACAAAAATACACACAAAAAAGCCCAAAATTCCGAACCTTCTTGCCATGGGGAGAGCTGGCAATCTCTCGCAGGGCCTTGGCACCCCTCTCGAGCGCCTCGGGATCGAACCCAGCAGAAGTAGTTCGTGGGTTATTGTTGCGAACACGGGGGGGAGGTTCGGCAGATGGTTGAGACGTTGGAGAAGTTTCGGAAGATTGAGGAGGTGGGGAAGCAGGTGATGAAGAGAAGGGAGAGAAGGTGAAAGGGCCATCGGCGTAGGCATGGTCGACGCCTAATGTTGCGGAAGCTAGGGCTGAGATAAGCCCTGCACCACAAACTCTTGCCATTTCTTTCTCTCTAAAAACCCTAATAGAGAGTTCAGCTTCCTGATAACAAGAAGGTGGATCTCTGTAAATGTTACAGATATAACATGAAAGGGGTCGCAGATGACGACTCCATAAACAGGGAAGGAGAGAGAAAGAAGTGAGAGAAAGTTTCAGGGTTTTTGTAGGGTTTCTTTTCTTCTTCTTTTTTTCTCTCTCTCCACGTGGTGGTTTAGGGCCGGGTTTCCACATACGGGTTTTCAAGCAAACACATTTGTTTAAAATATTATGGCTATGTTTGTTTGTATTCTCAAATCAATTTTTTACGTGTGTTTTGGCGCATGATATTTGGTTACGTTTTCAAATCAATTTTCTACACTCTCTGCAGAGAACTCTGTGCACACAGGCGTGTTTTCTGTCCAAAGGAAGACCACCCGGTAGACCACCCGGATGACCACCCGGTAGGCCACCCGGATGTCCACCCGGATGTCCGGTTAATTTCCAGATTTTTTTTTTTTTTTTTTTTTTTTTTTTTTTATTTTTTTTTTATAAAAATTTTTTATGTGCTTTAAAATAATTTTGAATTGTATGTTTAGTTATGAGTTGTAAATTTTTGTATCACATATCAAATGTCACATCAATAATTTCCCACTCAAATCAAACCTTTTTTCCAAAACTATTTTCAAAACTCTTTACCAAACAAATTTTCTACACTCAAATCATAATTCCACAACACACAAACTCAAAATACAACTCATACTCTCAAATCAAATTTACAAAACTCTACCAAATACTACCTATATTTTGCTCCATGTAATTTTGACAATTATATTTGGTCTCTCAAAATTTTTAATTATATAATAAATGCCTCTACAACAATGTTACATTTATCAAATTTTGACTCGTTCGAATTGTCTAAATTTATGCATGATGATCGTTCGAACGATCATCCAATTGGTCATCCGGGCAAATACAGATTAATACATCGGATGTCAAGGATAACAGCAAAGGTGACGACCACAGTTATAAACTTAGATACATACCTTTTAATTCCACTATTTATCAGCATAATATCTTCTACAATTACAAATACCAAAATTCCACCAACATGGATTCCTGTATGTGATCCAGTATAGCATGAAACTTTTAGCATAAGTGATCCAACTAATTATAATATGTTAATTTCGCATTCAGTCCTTTGTATGGTCTAAAAGACCATTTTATGGGATTTTATTCCTTTTACACTTCCAAATGAAGCCTTTAAATCTCAAACAAGACTTTAAACTTTATGGATCCATATACACTTCTAAAACCGAAAGTCTTTAAATTCATTCAGAAATTATTAACTGTAACTCAATAAGCTTACTTAAAATAAATAACAAATAATATTTAAATGTGCACAAAACGTATAATTGTAGATAAAATGAGAGTCAACACGTCAAATTTTAATGGCTAAAAATGTAACTCATTAATGTATCAAAAACAAATACTTAAAAAATATATCTATCCACACACATCAAAAGACTATAAAATACTTATATGCCCAACATGTTTAACAAACTCAATTGGTCTAAGCCCTTTAGTGAGAAGATATGCTAACATGTCTTTTGTACCAATGTGTTCATAAGTGACATCATCATTATCCACTCATTCACGAACTTTGAAATACTTCAGATTTATATGTTTAGTATCACCATAATTTTTATTGTTCTTTGTAAAGAAAACCGCAACCATATTATCACAATAAATTCTTATGGGTCTAGAGATGAAGTCAACTACTTGAAGCCTTGAAACAAAGTTCTTTAACCACACAGCTTGAGTACCAGCCTCAAAATATGCTATCACTTCTGCTTGCATTGTAAAAGATGCCACAAGTGACTGCTTGCAACTTTTCCATGATATGACACCACCTGCAAGCATAAAAATATAATCCATAGTGGATTTCATGTCATCTGAACAACCAGCAAAATCTGCATCTATATAGCCAGTAATTTCAAGATGATCTACTCTCTTATAGACAAGCATACAATCTTTAGTTTTCTGCAAGTACCTCAACATTTTCTTCGCTCCAACCCAATGCTCATGTCTTGGATTAGATGAATATCTCCCCAATAGACTTGTAGTATATGCAATATCAGGCCTAGTACAAATAGCAGCATATATCAAACTACCCATAACACTAGCATATGGAACATTCTTTATGGATTCCTTCTCAATATCATTTTTCGAACACTGAGCTTTACTGAATTTATCTCCTTTACAAACATGAGCAATACTAGGCTTACAATTTTGCATATTAAACCTAGCTAGAACATGATTTAGATATGCTCTTTGAGACAAGTCCAATAACCCTTGTGACACTCCAATTGTTTAATTAATTTAATAAAATAAAATATAGTTATACGTGCAAAAATGTAAATTAAGGGCATTGTTATTATTAAAACATAACAATGTGATTAGTATATTTTTGGGCCAAACCAAACATAATCATGCAATTAGTAACCAAACATCTATAACATACTCCTATTGCCCAATAGCACTGTCCCCGATGAGCCTTTCCGCAACTCGGACAATTCAGAATGGTGTTACCCCTGGGGATAGTAAAACTTTGATTGGCCAAACCAGTTAAGCCAGTAGGTCCTGTATTCATTTTCTTTGGTGGAGTTGTCCTAGATCCTCCGACTGGTTCCCAAAATCACTTCTTTTGACCTATTTCACCCGAACGTGATGTTTTAATTCCTTTCTCAGCGATGTACGCCCAATCTACCACATCCGCATAGGTTGGTATTTTCAAAACCTCAATTTTATCTTTGATTCCAGCATCCAATCCTGCTTTGAACTTCCTAGCTTTCCAAGCTTCTGTTAGAATAACATATGTTGCAAATCGCACCAGTCGGGTGAACTTACTTTCGTATTTTGCTACCGATATCGTTCCTTGCTTCAAATGTAGGAACTCCAATGCCTTCTGCTTCCGTAGTGATTCTGGAAAGTATTTTTCATAAAATACTTCTAGAAATCTAGCCTACGTCACGATCTCTTCCTTTTTTAAGGTAAGAAGCAACCATTCTTGCGTATCCTCTTTAAAAGTGAAGGTGGCGAAGGACACCTTCTGTTCTTCTATGCAAAATAGAGCACGAAAAATCTTTTCCATTTCTTTAACCCAAGCTTCAACTAGCAATCGGTTCTAGTCTCCTGTGAACGTGGAATGTTTCAGGTCTTAGAACTATTTAATCGTAGTTAGCCCTTCGCGATGTTCTGGTAATCCATTGGTTACATTGTTCTACAAAGCTTGCAAGAAACTAGCAACAACTCTTTCCATGATCTTTTCCATTGGATCGGCTCTACTAAATGATGATCCAATACCATTTCCATCATTAGCCATAGCTATAAAGTAACAGTTTTAATAAACATGGTGCATGATTTCTATTAATTATCATCTACCTACTATTTTCACATAATTCACAAAAAATTATACACAAAACACCAGTTTTATTTATGCTTAACAGTGTTGGTACATTACTTGTAGTTACATCAAGTTAGTGCTTAACTCTCTATGACAAAACGAGTTAGAACTGTGTCATGATCAGCTCACTTGTACATCAAAAGGGAAAAAAAAAAAAAACAACAATAACAACAACAAAACAAAGGATCATATTCTCGGGATTTTAAACTGGAAATACCCATGGGAACTGTAGCTACATATGGTGCTCAAATTCACAACCACTCTGCTCAATGCCAAGGCATAACCTTACCACGTCCACTCAGTAAATGGGAATGCTTGCTTTGTAACCCCATAGCTGACGTCCCACGATACGTACTGGCACTTCTACATACGTCATAAAATCACTAAAATCTGGGTGTTAATAAGGTTTGGAGGGAGAGGGACTCCTGCTCGCAGATGGTCACTTAAAAATGCATTCCCTCTTCGAGCCACGAATTTTAGGGGCAAGGGTGCCACTAAGAAACAAGGGTACCCTTGTCCTGTGTCCATGCCTACTACCCTTGTTGGTCCCAGAAACTTGTCTAGTGTACTCATGTCATCAACCCTCCACCATAGTAGTTCTACTACCGTAGGGACTGCCCGTAGGTATACTGGTATGCCCATCAATCGGTTCAGGGTTGGGTTTGCATGTCTAACTGTTTCCTCAAGAGTCCCCATTCCTTTTGGCAGGTCTAGGACATAGTTGTTATTCTCAAAAATCCTTTCGAACTCCGGTGGATCGAGTCCACGCAAAAAAGAGTCACCGAAATTGAGTTCCGACATTTCCTGCACCACAGGATGCCGAAACTCAATTATGGAACGAATAAGAAACTATACCCATAATGGCTTATACATCCTAACAACTTTAAAAAAAAAAAAATTATCCTATTTTCTAATAGTACGCATATCTTCTACCTCAATGGGTTTTTTTTTTTTTTTTTTAACCATTGCTCTGATACCACTTTGTCACAACCCACCCCAGTGCCTAGGGCTGGATTCATAACTAATTAAATTCTAAAATTTCTAAGATTAGTTCGAAGTAACTAAATTAAATAATGCAGAGAAATGAAATAAAAGACGTAGATAAATATCTAAAGTATACATGAGAATTATTATTTATGTAACATAAGTCAGATAATAATTACAAATAAAATAAATAAATAAATAAAGGAACAAAGAAAACAAGCATGATGTTCATATCAAATTTGGATCCTAATTAATGAGGTAAAACCATTATTCCTTAAGTTTCTTTACCTGAAAGGGGTTCTAATAGCTATAAGCACAAGACAGAGTAATGAATATTATACTAAGAGTATAAGGGTATACAAATCACCATGTATAATTATTTAGGCTAAACAATGAATAGTTTGATTTGAATAAATTATTTTAAATAACAGACATATAATACAAAAAATCGTATATGCCAATAATCATAACCACATTACAAAACAGAATAGAGGGTCAATGGATCCATGACAGACAGAGGGCCACAAAGTGACTAATTAGAGGGCCAATGGTTATTTAAGTCCCCAAGGCGTGGGACCGTTAGAAGGTCACTAAAGTGACTAATCAAAGGGCAAAGGTTATTTAAGTCCCCCAAAGCATGGACAACAAGAGGAAGGAAGGAACAGAAGCGCCAAAAGCGAGCTTTTAATTTAGTACTTAGAAACCACGATACTACGGAGAACGTTGTGTTAGGTACACTCTCTATATGTGGTCATTCAGCTTATATTCTCATTGATTCTAGGT